GGCTCCAAAGCCTGTGCTCTAGGCAAAAAAATAAAATCAAAGGAGACAGATAGATACCAGATCACCAACATGTCCCGAGCATCCTTGCACGCTGGTACCGGAGGCAGCTGCCCTTGAGTGCCTTGTGCTGGTCCCGCTGTGGCTGCGAGGTGTGAGATGCAGCCAAAATCCTCTGGTCTGCTTTTCTGGAGAGGAGAGCGAGAGCAAAAACATCTTGAGCCAAAACAAGCAAATGTCCGGCCATCCTTAGTTTGGTTTTAAGTCTGTGCCATGAAGATATTTTTGCTCTCCTCATCTCGCTGCTGGGCTGACGGAGGCTGGGGCTGGCAGAGCGACCAGTGCTGGTGGTGCTTCCCACGAAGGGAGCATCCTCCTTGCTGCCTGCCAGTGCCTTGCACCACTGTTTGGACGTTATTTTTATTTAAAAAAAGTGTTTGGTGAAAGCCAGCCACGGGATGCTGGGGCAAGCGGCACAGCTGCCTGGGCGACCTGAAGTTGCTCATGCAGAGTGTGCGGTAGGGACACCAGCTCGCATTTAATAGCAGATTCAATAACCACCGATGGGAACCTGGTTTTCACAGTTAATAGAAACCATCGCTTGCATTGGTGAAGCATGGCAGGTTTGGACGGGTGGCAAGCTGGGGCTCGGCTGATGCCCGTGCCACCCCTCAGCATATTGTCTCACCGTGACGCTGGGAGCCTTGCAGGACGGGATGCATCGGTGTGCAGTGCCTCAGCTCACCTTCGAGATGCTCTTGGAGGTGGGTCAGGGCTGTCCAGCAAGGGGGATGAGGAGGAAGGCTCCCACTGCAGCATCCCGAGGGCTGCCATGCGGGCAGCGCACCCAGAAAGCTCTGCAGCTTCCCAAACCTTCCCCTTTGGGATCCTGCCTTTTACTACCAGGGGTAGCCTGGGGCCGGGGGCAGCGGTGCACTGTTGCTGGCAGTGATTTCAGCCCATCAGCTCTTGTGCTGGCTGCTCTGGTTTTTAAATTCAGCCCCCAAAACCCTCTTGGCCTCAGTGGTGCCTCACAGCTCGTCTCGGGTCGAGCCTGCCACAGGGCGGGGGGCAGGAAACCGCTCGCCGCACCCTGCTCTCAGCAAACCTTCACGCCTAGCGAAGACCTAAACTCTGTATTAAAGAAAGTAAATAAATAAAAGCACCGGTCCGCAGCTCCTCCCAGGGCTGTGGGATGAGCGGAGGTGAGTTGTGTTCCTGGCTCAGCCGGCCTGGGAAAGCGAATTTGGGTGACACCGAAATGCTGGTGGGGCAGCTCGGGATGCTTGGGCTGCTCCGGGGGCGGGGAGCTGCTGGGTGCAGCTGTGCTGGTGCCTCTTCCACGCCGCTCTTAAACGCAATTAATACAGCGGAATAACCTGGTTTGTTCCTAAGGATTAGGTTAAGAAAACAAGACAGTTTTAATAGCCCTTTTAACAACCTACGTAGATTTTAACTGAAAAACCTAACTGGTTTGGCAGTGCAGCTTTTTTCCCCTGTTTTCCCCCCCATAACGTGATGCCAGCGGTCCTGCGCGAGCGCGCTCCTACCGATAATTCAAGTGCCCAGCTCCTGGCTGTGCTGTTTTGTCCAATTTCCATTGCCTCCTGACCTCCATCCTTCTTTATTTGCAAAGCTATACTCGCAGGCAGCAGTAATAAATCAATTAATGACTCTGATGAATCGTTTAATGGCTGACAAAATAACACTACAGTCAACAGCTTGGATCTCTACAGCAGTACCAGAAGACGCTGGTTGACTCAGGGTAGGGAGACGAAACAGAGACTGTTAGCTCAATTAGTGCAATTAGTGTGCGATTTAAAGGCTTAGACGGCATCTGCTGGCGTACCGAGCCGGTGTGTTAACTGAGAGCTTCAGTTTGGAAGCGAAACGCGGTGATCCAGATTGTCATCGCTCCGCTCGCTTCCACCAAAAAAGGGGAAAAATCCAACGTACGTGTGTGTGGGGATATATATACTTGCTCATCTCCGGCAGCCGTCCCCAGCGTGCTTTGGTGGAAGGAAGTTTGGGGCATTGTGTGCCAACAGGGACCTGTGTGTGGCTGGAGGTGCTTTTGGTTTAGCACCAGCTTGGACGCGGTGGCACAGCGGTCTTTGTGCTCCCAGCGCTGCCTGTCTCCTGCCTGCCCCGTCGGCATCTCTGCCTTCCCCGTACCTCTGCCGGGGGCAGGGGGCTTGGGAGCACTCAGATATTCACCTGGTGAAAGGGGCTTGGCAGGCAAACTCCAGCTGAAATCTCTGGAGTCCCTAAAAAGAGTTTCTTATCCAAATTGGTGCAATTAAGCAGGGGGGGAGGAGCTGGAAGGGCAAAAAATTCCTGGTTTTCTGGAAAGCAGTGCTGGAAAGTCCTTGGGGTTTGGGTGCTCACCCTCAGGGTTTGGGTGCTCACCCGTAGAGTTTGGGAAATCTGTTCCCACTGTCTTTTTTTCCCCTTTTTCATCCTTTTCTGGTGCCTCCCCCAGGGTTTTGCAGAGCTGCTCCGGCCGCGGCTGCGCTCCCATCACTTTCGCAGGGCTAAAGGTGCCTTGGTGTTTACCTTAGCAGCAGTGATGGGGAGGGGAATAAAAAAGAAATAAAATGTCACTTCGCAGCCTTGTAAATCATTCATCAAGGGCTGACCAATTTGGCTCCCATCCTACAATATGCTCAGGGCACTTGTGGGTTTTTAATTACCGAGTTCTGCCAAGCACCACATGTGCGAGGAACTTTAAATCCCCGTTTACACCATGAAGGCATAGGTGAGGTTTTGGGGTGTTTAGCGCGGAAAAATACTCTGTGGTTTTGTGGAAAAATGGGCATTTTGCTTCAAGATTTTCTTTGGCTGCTTTGCCCTCCTCCCTCTGCTCCCTGTTGCAGAGGGAAGGAGGAGGGCAGCGTACTTTACCCCTGGATCCCCAAATACATGTCCGTCCTCACTCCCCACCGCTTCGGGATCCATTTCACTTTGGGAGATTCCCCGAGCAAAGGATTATGGTGTGCTGGAAATCTCTTGAAACCATAAAATATCACCTTGGCAGCTTTATTGCAGCGCTCGCCGCCTTGGGAGAGAAGCGTTTTGCGTGATAGAGGGTTTAATAAAGGAAATTCCAAATGGGCTCGCTGCAGTTTGGGGCTCGGTCTTATATATTTTTGCATTAAGAACCGTCATCTGCTTTGCAGAGAAACTGCAATATGTTCATGGCCTTGGATTAAGATTTGGTTTTACTTTTATAGCTGACCCACTTGGGGGGATGGAGGGAGGGGGAGAACTGGGTTCACTCCCTCTCCCGTCTATTTTTGCTGCCGTCTGATGTATAAAAAGAGCCTGGAACGGGCAGGCTTATTTTTCCTGCCAGGACTTTTTTTTATTAACTGTAAAAACACTCAGATCTGGCCTTTGCAGTTGATGTGGGGGAGCTCGGGGTGCCTGGTTCAGGGGAATGGCAGGAGCATGGCATGGGCTGTGCCTAGGGGTGCAGGGCCCCAGAGCCACAGGTTTACCCCAGCTATTTTGCAAAGGGGGTCTCTTTTTGGGGAATCAGCTTGCGCTGTTGTCTCTGGCACTTGCAGCTCTGAGATGCTGGGGTGGGAAAAGCAACAACTGGACTGCCGTGGTCATGGCCTTCATCCTGCCCTCCGGGTCCTGCCAGAGAGTGTGATGGGGGCACACGAGGGATGGTCCCCGGAAAGGCACAAGGCAGCAGTTAGCGTGATGTTCTCCTGCCTCTGCATGGCTTTCTGGTCCAGAATAGCAAGATTCCCAACCAGACATTGGGGTCCCATGTTGGCAAGCCTTAGTCCTTAATTTTTGGGTCTGCTCAAGTCTTGACACCCCGACTTCCCTCCTCTGCTCACGTGCTATCATGCTGCATTAGATGCAGTCGGGGGCTGGGGCTGGCTCAGCTGCTGTCTGGATGTTAGGCTTGGTGGGGTTGAGGTGCTCCAAGCTTTGGGGTAAAACCAAGCCTGAACAGGCTCGTATGTATCCTGTCTGCCTGTGGTATTTCCTTGGTGGAAAATTTTTCCACCAATTTTTTTCATGGTGGACAATTTTCCTTAGCCTTGCCACCTGGTTTTAGGTGGGTAAGTCCATTGTAAAAGTTGGTGGAGGCAGCAGTTCAGTGATCCAAATCCAATTAATATCACTGAGGCTGCCTTGTAACTGCCCTGGGAACGGAGGTTCATTTGGTGATGGGGAAATGAGAGTACATTTCAGTGGCACAGGTACCGCTCCTAACCCAGCAGGGACGTGTTGCCAGCAATGGGCTTTAGGGAGAGATCCTTTTCTTACCATTTTCCCTCTGGGTAGGAGCCTCCCATCATGCCGGTGCTTTCCCAGCGCTGCCAGCTCCGCAGCGCAGTGAGAAAGTACATACGAATAGAGATGCAGAGCAGGAGTGAGTGGGGTGTCTGGGTACCCTATGTCCACCTCCATCCCTCCTTTTCAGGCCTGGAGCCGCTCGGGTGGGTCATTCTGGGGAGGTTTGGGTGGGAGAGTGTCCCCACAGATTGGGTGTGATGAATTTGGAAATTTGTGATAAAACCTTGGCATGTGGGTGAGGTCGGGGAAGCATCTTTTTTGGAGGACAGAACCAAACCAGCAAGCACACAGGGGCAGGTGGGGTAAGAAAAGAGTTTTAAAAGCCTCAAAACAGCTTCTGCCTGAAGTGACGCATCGGACGAGGCTCCTTGGTGGATTAATGAGACTAAACGCCTGGGTAAATGCATAAATAAGCCCCAGAATTACCCCTGTTTTTTGCACAGCCATCTTCTCAGTGGGCAAACTGCAGAGGCCGGTGCCCCTTCAGCTCCGAGCATCCTTTGCTTGTTCCTCTGTAGGGCGAAGATGCTCGGGGCATGGGGAGTGATGCTCGGGGCTCTGGAGGTAACTCACTAATTGACTCAATGTGGTGTGGCAGGGGAGACAGCTTTTTTAATGTGTTTTTTTTCTAAACTTCAACTCAAACCCACTGTGTTTGTCCTGATTTTGTTCCCCGCAGAGCGCAGCTGCCGCCCCAAGTCCCGTGCTTGGAAACATTCCCCCGAACGACGGGATGCCTGGGGGCCCCATCCCGCCCGGTTTCTTCCAGGTAGGCTGCCGCTCCTCCCGATGCTCGCCTCCACACCGCGCACGTGTTTGCTTACGCTCTGGGTGTCAGCGCTGTTGTGCCTGTGGTTTTTTTTCCAAAGGGATGCTAGGGAAGCAGCATGCCTGCGTAGCTGACCTGTCTAGGAATAACTCGTGTTCTGCTGTCCTTCCACGTTTGCTTTCTATTTTTTGTGGCCTTAAAGCAAATTTCTTCCTTGCTCGAAGAGGTTACTGTGTATTTACAACCAGTGGTTTTTTTCCAAAGCTGCTTGGTTTGTGTTTGGGTTGGGATTGTATTTGTTCTCTGGTCCTAACAGACGTGCATAATTGAAAACATTCTGGATTTTGATTCCTGAAACTTCCCCCCCGCTCTGGTTAACCGCTTGATTTTTTCCAAATGCAATCACTGAAAGCATTAACAAACGCTGGCTGCGGCTGCAGGCAGGAGCTGGCTCCAGCCAAGTCCCCAAATGCCGTGGAGGCACCTTGTAAGCAAATACCTAGCAAAATCCCCAAAGTCCCCTCGCTCCTTCCTTCTCCCGCGCCGTTCTCTGACTGAGGAGGGGGTAACGTATGTTTGGAGTGATGCTGGACAAGTACACAGAAAAGGAGTTTTCAAAACTTGAACTGTGGGGTGTTTTTTTGATTTCTCTGGAATCTCTTTGCATGGCATGAGTCGCACTGGTTTGCAGCGGCATAAGCTCTTGGTGCATTAAAATCTTCCTTCCTGAGGAAGAAACACTTGTTCGTGTAACAAATGGGATAAGAGTTGAAAGGAATATTTGTTTTGGCAAGCTGGTTTTTTTTTTTTATCTGGGCTTGTGATTTGTATATGGGAGAACTTCTCGAGCAGTAGACAGGCAGACTCGATAAGGCACTTGTGATTTATTGTGGCGATATCTGAGCCTGATACCGCCATTTGCCTGTGTATGGGAAGGGGGAAGGAGGGTCCTGTCTTTTTTTTTAAGAGAGATCCCATTTCCTGAACATGCGTCTGACAAAGTAAGAATATCCGATATTGATCGAGAACCCTAAAACAGGCGAATCTTGTAGCAGCGCTCAGCAGCACGGGGTGAAGGCCAACAGCAGAGATGCTATCTCGCAGGTCACAGCTGCTGCCAGCAATTCGAGTGCCAAGCTGCTGCTTCCAACAAATGTGTCTCCAAAAGTCCTGATCTCGCCCCGCGGCGAAGCTGACTGTCCTTTGGGGCTCCTGCTTCACGCAGAGCTGCGAGGGCTGCAAAATTGGCACGAAGTTAGGGCAAGGCTTCAAGAGTATGGGTTGGCTTTCCTCGAGAGGGGAAGGTGACGAAGAGGAGTCGCATCTCCCCAGACGTGCTGTGCATGCTCCCATCTCGACTCTTCCCGTTGACAGCCTCCAAGCTGTCCCCCCTTTCTGCCCTCCTGTACCATTTTAGCACTAAGGGTCTGATTCAGGAGCAAACAACCCATCCTAGCTCCCTATCTCTTGTGCAGCTGGACCAGGAGCTGCTGGGGCAGGGGGGCTCAAAAGCAGACCTGCTTTCTTAAGAGCTTTAGAGGGGAGTGCGGTCCTGAAAACCCAGCAGAAGTAATGGCACCGGTGCAGGTGTCGTGTGCCGTCCCCGGAGTTGCCGGAGGGAAAAGAGGACGGGTGCTGATGCATATGGCTCGCATGTGACATCTCAAGAGCCTGCCTTTCCTGAAAGCCCTCCAACATCTGGTTTCTCCTCCCCGCCCTGGGGATGGAGGGGAGGAGGGGAGAAGAAAAATCCCACCTTTTAACACAGTCTGAACATCGCCCCCATGAAAGCCTGTCTGATTTATTGCGGGTGCTGGAGCTCATTCCAGCTTCAGGAGGTGCTGGAGACCAGCTCTTGCAGATGTGGGCTGGTGGCTCAGCAGTGAGCTGGTCACAGCTTGGGGGTAATTTCTCATCCCTGTAGCAAATTAAAGTGCTGAACCTAAGCGGGCAAACCCAAAAAGGTCACAGGAGATGCAAAGGACCTGACCCTTGGTATGCCAGCTGTGGAAGGGGGGGAGATTCCTGGTGGTACCACCCCAGCCAGTGCCTTCTCCGTGCCAGAAGACTTGGAGGATGGAGAGTGCTTGGGGTTTTCAGCATCTTGCTCTTCTGCACCGTACTGCAGGCACCAGGGACCTGCAGGGATCTCCATGAGGACAGCAGGCATGGGGTTTTGGGAGGTTTTAGAGGGCCTGACCCTGTCCTGCCATGGTGGAGCATCACGCCAGGAGCTGATAAGGGAGTCGCCAGCAAAGCTTGGGGTTACAGAAATCCCATGCTCCCACCCTGGGGGTGCATGAACCCCTCCAGCCCCACTCATTCTGATGCACGCCACTGTTTGGCAAAGGGAAAAAATAATACCTACCACTCCTGGGAGCTAGTGGCCCAAAAACCCACGGGAGTGAGCTTGGGGGAGAAGTGATGCACTGGGAAGGGGAGAAGAGAGGAGGAGCCCGGGCTGCAGCGCCTGTCCGCAGCTGCTGTCTTACAGGGAGAGTCCCTTCTCTGCACTGGGGCTCAGCAGTGACCTTCGGGCTGGGGGCCAAGGGAAATGTAGCCTGCAGAATCTCCCAAAACCTTCCCAAAGCAGTGGGAAAGGAGAGGCCCTGAGTGCCCTTGGGTTGCCGGGGCATTGCGTGGTGCCAGGCGGCGGCACAGCACTGGGCTGCGCTCCGGACAAAAGGTGGCTGGGTTGATTGCCGGTGTGGGTAGATGCTTTTATTTAAATCTCTGTCTTTGTCCCTTTGAGATGAGCAAACAAACCCTCTGCTCATCCTCGTAAAGGTCACCGGAGGCGTTCCTGCTTTTGTTTTGAAAGCTGGATTGATGCTGGGGTGCAGATCCCTCAAAGAAGGGACAGGGGGGTGCCAGGGAAATGTAGAAAGGAAAATTAAAAATTAAAAGCAATTAACACCACACCTTGCTACCGCTAAATAAATGGGAGGGGACCCGGTCAGCAGCCCCCCCACTGCGGCCGTGCCTCCTCTCCCCAGTGCGAACTCTCCGCACCACCCTGTACCCCGCACGCTGATGAAATGGAAAGTTGACCATAAATCAATGTCGGCGGCTGCGTTAGCTATGCATCAGCAGCTCGGCGCCGAGATGCACCAAAACAAAGCGCCGGCTGCTCGGTGTTCCCACACTGCCCCCTAATGCAGAGAGACCTCGGGAGCCAGGGAGGACGGGGGGCTCCCCCTGCTACCCCCTGCCCTCCCCACCTCTCCTCCCTGCATCCTGGGGCGCGTCTCTTTGGGTAAGGTCGCCCACAGGCATGAGGATGGTAAAGCTGGGGGCGATAGGAAGGGGTCCATGTTATCCTGCTCCCTCCTTGGATGCCACCATTTTCCCCCTGCTCGGCTGTCTTGACACCTCAGTGGGATTTGCCACCACTCCGCAGATGACACCAGCTACGGTCAACCAGCTTCAGCGAGGTGGCACAAGAGCCACAAAACCAGGCTGCTTGTCCTGAAGTCCCGGGGCAGAGCTCGGTGTCAGCCTTGCTGACAAACCTCAGGCAGGGTTTGAAGGAAGGTGGCTTACGAGCTGGAGGAAAGGAAGAGCAAGCATCGGAGAAAGTTTTTTTTTCTGGAAGTTTAGTAGGATGCCCGAGGCTTTTGTACCGAGCGTCTGGAGCATATGGTGGGATTTGCAGTCAACTTTCTCTCGGGTGCTCCAGCCAGATGGAGGTGACTGTTCTTGGCTCCAGCTGACATGGGTTTGTTTCCTGAAGAGCTTGTGTTTAACATATTCCTTAAAACCAGGCTTCTGCAGTTGGGAGCCCCAGCTGCAGGCGAGGCAGAGCTCCTGCCCACGGCTGCCTTCCGCCGTCTGCAAGGGAACTTGGCCCGCCTTGCCTTGCCTTGCCTTGCCTTGCCTTGCCTTGCCTTGCCTTGCCTTGCCTTGCCTTGCCTTGCCTTGCCTTGCCTTGCCTTGCCTTGCCTTGCCTTGCCTTGCCTTGCCTTGCCTTGCCTTGCCTTGCCTTGCCTTGCCCTCTCTCCGGAAGGTGTGATTGAATCCTCACCCAGGACCACGTGGTCCTCCTCTCCAAGGGCACCTGGAGCACCTCTCCTAAAGGCTCCTTCAGAGATCTCTTAAATGTTGACAACTTGCAAAACTTCCCTCT